TCTGAATAATTTACTTACTCGACTAATATCACGCCCGTCACTCAAACCCCCCAAAGTTCGAGGACACTCTTGCGATGGCGCCATTCACCTTTGAAGCCTCGAAGACGGCAGTGATCACTGGAGGCGCATCGGGCATCGGCCTGGCGGTCGCCCAAAAGTGCTTGGACCATGGAATGAAGGTCGTTATTGCGGATAAAGACAGCAGCAAGCTGATCGAGATGAAACAAAATCTCGGAAGTGCGCTTGCCACTCTTGAGATGGATGTTGGTCGAGCCGAAGATTGGATTCGGCTCCAGAAGCTTGTCGATGGTAATTTTCAGGGTACGTTGACGCTTCGGCCAGGCATACGCGATAACCTCCTGTTGGGCGTGTACGTCCATTTTGCTATGCAACCTATTAATGTAGAATCCAGGTCGTCTTGATTTTCTTTTCCTGAACGCTGGCATCCAACCCTCGTCTAGATGGGAAGACACCTCGTCCTTTCAGACTATCTTCGACGTCAACTTGTTCGGCGTTGTTCACGGCATTTCCACCTTCTTGCCAACGATCAAGGCCACGCCTGATTCTGCCATAGTCATCACCGGATCAAAGCAGGGCATCACCAACCCGCCTAGCAACCCTGCATACAACGCAAGCAAGTCAGCTGTCAAGTCGATCGCGGAGCATCTGTCGTACGATCTTAATGATACAACAACCAACGTGCATCTTCTTGTGCCAGGTTGGACATTCACGGGCTTGGGCCGGAGCAACGCTCAATCAAGTGGCGAGAAGCCCGCCGGTGCTTGGACCTCAGAGCAGGTTGCCAACTACCTGGTCGAGAAGATGACTCAAAACGAGTTCTACATCATTTGCCCCGACAATGAAGTTACCGAGGAGATGGATGCCAAAAGAATAGCCTGGGCCGCACAAGATCTGGTACGCCGCCGCCCGCCTCTGAGTCGATGGCGGGAGGAGTTTAAGGAAGAATTCTCGAACTGGAACGCCACTTAATCTGCAGCCACGATATTGGATATATTTCATCTTAGCTACAGCGACTCGTACAGAAACCTTATGCTCGAGGTGTCTTTAACAGCTGGTGGAACTTCGGGAATCGTGAATGGCAAAGACTCACAATGTCCAGTGTGGAACGAACGTATCAAGATCTGCTCAGCCTTCGTCAGCATTCATCCCTGAAACACATTTCTTTTCGAAAGAACCATCTGTTACGTGCACCCTCTGACATCAAGCGGTCAAATCATTTCCATGTCTGCGTAACATATCCTGAAATTACTTGAGACGCTGTATCCACCTCGGAGTATTCTCATGGGACTTCTGCGCAATCAAAGACAGCAACGCTCCGTTGATGGGGCAGAGTTACTGGAACAGGAAAATCAAATCAGAATTTCGATTTCGAAGACGTCTAACTTAAGGGAACGAATAGAGAGTACTTCCAGGGAAATACAAGCCCGGGTCGTGGAAATGAAGGCCTAGGTCCAATCCAGGGATTCCTCCAGCTCCTGCGTTTGACGGTCAAAGTTAAGAGCGTTCAAATGCCGCTTTGCCGCCATCCCCACCTGGGCTCCCGGAACTTCCGGCGATGAAGACAGAGACAAGTTCGCCGCTTTCAACGGCTGGCTGACCATCTGGGGTGTGTTAATTACAAATTGGTAGGCTACCGGCGGTGATAACATGAGCTCTGCGGTACATGCTGACACCGACAGGTTGACTACGCCTGTGCCTCGTATCAGGCGGATATGTGATACCGCTTTCCTTGTGATATGTGTTCTCTCGAGCGTATTCAAAATTGACAAAAGAGCGGCCACTACAGCATTACCAATATTGTTGGGGGGCATGCATCGACGAGGCCGCTGAGAGCCCAATGACGGAAATGATGGCTGCGACACGGGAAGGGTCGTCGAGTTGGTAATAATTGATTATTCCTGAAAGGAGCTTAGTTTCAACCGGTTTAACAGCGTGTAAATTTAAAGAAAAAAGGGTAATGCCAGAGGTGATCGTTAGACAGATGATTTCGACGTTCCTCGTTTGAGCATATGGTTGTCTTGATGACCTCTTTTACTCGCTGCTTCCGCAGCGGTGTTCTGTTGGTAGGGTGTATCGCAACGGTATCTGCACCACTGTCGGTAGCTCAGTGAATTACCAACAAACCGTACGAACACTCAGCCTTCTCGGGTGGAATACTGGATCTGACGCAACTTATCTGTATCCAAGCAGATGTATGCTTACACCACTCCCAGGAGCTATCTTGTCGGAGGAACGGAGGTCTGTTCGTACAGGCCAAGGTTTTATTGGCCAAGTATGACCAGTCGAGACACAGAGGCACCCGAAGTCGTCCGGAGTGGCTATGAAATCAGGCCTGTGTAGAATCTGGGCTCATTTGGTGCAGGCCACAAACCAGGTGATGGCGCAAAGAAGAAAGTCTCCGACGAGACATTCCAATGTCAGGGTGCTAATTTGAAAGGAACGCATCAAGATTGCTTTTGAAGTTTTGATTGTCCTCGAACGTAGTCGGAACAGGATGGGGACACTACAGCCTTGATGTTTCAGACTCGGACGATTGGCGACGTACCGCCTGGTGAGGAGCTCTTGAACAATAGCAGCTTCACGGCCCTGGGCACCGATGTGACCCCAATTTGACCTCATTTCATGACTACAGCATGATATCTATTCGATTTAAGGCTTGCCGGCAAGCTATCAAAGGCTGCGTCGTTGAAAGAAGCCTATACAAACCATGATCAAACTAATGAAACCAATTCGCCGGGACATCTATCTAAGCCAACACCGCCATTCCCATGGCATTCTTGCCAGCCCCCATGTTTCCCAACTGTAAATGCTGAACCTGCTTCTTGCTTTTGGCATCCACGACCGTCACTGCGGCTTGTGTTGTTCCATTCCCGGGACTGAGGGCATAGATGAACTGCCCGGAAGCCCTGAGGTCAATCAGACCAGGATCGCCGTTAGAGCTCAAGTCGATCTCGCTGATGATTTCAGCATCCGCTGTGGACATCTCCACCAGCCTGTTCCTTCCAACGTCCGTAACAAAGGCTGTGCCCGTAGCCGGGGAAACGGTGGCCCAACACGTCGCAGCTTGGCCATCCACGGGCCCCTTGCCTTTGACAGTGGTGTTGCCATTGTTGGCATCCACAGAAAGTACAGCGCCACCGAAGGAAGCATCCGTGACGAAAATGTCAGTGGTTCCAGGAATGACGGACGAGCCAAAGAGTACGGATGTGCCCTCTGGGGATGTTCGCCTATTCTCCTGGCTAACAGAGGCGGCACATTCTCCTTCGTCGCTGGCCTGCACAGCAAAGGAGGAGAGGAACCCGGTATTGTTCTTCGTGGGATCTCCCTTGACAGTAGTGAATAAAGTGTTCTGGTCGTCTGAGAAGAAGACCTGGGAGACTGTGTTTGTCGGTCCGACGGGCGGTGTGGTCTGCTTCAAGTCAAAAGGGCGGAGGTTGTCCATGGCACCTATGCCATTCTTCGTAAAGGGTGCACACGAAACACCCGCCACCGCACCAGACGTTCCGACACAGACAATTCCATTTTTTGAAGACGCTGCCACCGTATTGGGAAACTCGCCTGGCACCGCGACGGGCCTGCCGACGACTTGGAGCTTGGTAGAATTTTTCTTGTCTATGCGGAACATGGTAATCGTGTTGGAACCGGCGTTGACCGCAAATAGGCTCTGCAGGACTATAGTTAGACGACTGTCTTGAAAGAGAATGATGGGAGACGTATATCCAAGGTATCAAGGAAAACACTTACATGTCCGGCTACAGTCAAGGCAGACTGGGACACTAGAGCATCCGGGGCAGCAGGCTGCCCTGTGCTGCTATCAACGGCATTAGAGCCTGCCCCGCCGGTTGCAGTCTGCTGGCCAGCCTGAAGCAAGCCGTCGACGCCAATCGGTAAGGCGATGACGCTGTTCTTGACTTCATTCGATAGAAGGTAAACGGCCTTGTCGGCCGGACTGGCGGCCTTACACGAAGATGATCCCGAGGGTTGGGCAGAGGCGCCGACAATGGAGTGAGTTAAGGCAAGTATAAGATGTGATATTTTGAAATGCATTGTAAACTTTGCGTTAAAGAGGCGAATGTGCTCTATATTTCTGGAACAATGTCAATCGTGATCCAGAGTATTGGTGATAAGCTAAAAGAGAGGATGCTGATGTGTGTTGATTTCACGAGAAAGTCATGAGATCGTCTGAAAAGAACAGCGCGCGAGCTCTAATATATATCATCACTGAGCCCTGGTCGTCACTGAGCCCTGGTCCCTTCAGACAAACGTAGGAGCGTGGGGACACACTATTGACATAAGAGGGCGAATATCATTTCGAGGATGAGAGTTCGTTGGTAATCAGAACTTCCTCTTTTGGACAGGCGAATAGGTCTGGGGTCGGGTTTCAGATCAGTATTCCACGACGTGCAACCAACCTGACACCTCCTGATCGATCATACATGCATAGTCGCATGTTCTTTGACTCGTCTATACGTTCGGCTCCATGTTCCGACCGCGAGGACGTCATGGTTTCGTCAACGTAACCGTTGTGTCCTGAACCAAGGGCATCTCCTAAGATACCAAACCATTGGTCTTACTGTAGCAGTATGCCCTCTGGAAACTAGGGCGACAAATTGTCAACTCTGAGAAGCAAAACGGAGAAAAGGCTGTCGAGGATTTAAAACTTGGGGCGTTCATGCCAGTACAGAGTCGCAGGTCTAGGCCTCCTTCAAGCCATTGCCACAATGCGAGATCCATCGTGACAGCAGGCCAAGATACTCAAGTGGATGGATCACTGTTACTGAGGGTCCATGATATTTAAAAAGGAGGCCTTATTGAGATGATGGCCACTTAGATCAAATAACACACTGGAAATACATTTTCCAGCTCAGGACTGTCAACCACGAGTGTTTTGTACATGAAGTCCTATCTGAGGGAAATTAAGAAACACAATTTTGACATGAAGTGCCCGTATCAATAATCACAGCTCTCAGATGTGGCCGGGTCCTGTGCTGCCTTGACATCTGTTCCGTTCCGCGGATTGCCAGTGTACAGGTTGCCTTGGTTGGCACCGCCCCTGTTTTGCGACGAAGCTTGGCCTCGGCCACCCTGAACAGGACCTGCAGCAGCTTGGTTTCCCTTACCACCGTTTGCGGGATCTGGGCGGCCTTGGAACCGGTAACCGCCGCCTTGTGTACTGTTCAGGTAAATTCCAGACTGGGCCTCAATCTTTCCCTGGGTACCTTGAGTCTGACCGTTATTGTCCTTAGCCTTGCCCTGACCACCCTGAGCTTGACCGTTGTTGTCCTTCATCTGGCCCTGGCCACCTTGAGTCTGACCGTAGTTGCCTTGAGATTGACCGTTGTTGTCCTCAGCCTTGCCCTGACCACCCTGAGCTTGACCGTTGTTGTCCTTCGCCTGGCCCTGGCCTCCTGGAGTCTGGCCGTTGTTGTCCTTCGTCTGGCCTTGGCCACCTTGAGTCTTACCGGTATTGTCCTTGCCTTGACCCTGGCCTTGTCCTTGACCGTTGTTGCCCTTAGCTTGGCCCTGGCCACCTTGAGTCTGGCCGTTGTTGTCCTTGCCTTGACCCTGGCCTTGTCCTTGACCGTTGTTGCCCTTAGCTTGGCCCTGGCCACCTTGAGTCTGGCCGTTGTTGTCCTTGCCTTGACCCTGGCCTTGTCCTTGACCATTGTTGTCTTTGCCTTGACCCTGGCCTTGTTCTTGACCATTGTTGCCCTTAGCTTGGCCCTGGCCACCTGGAGTCTGGCCGTTGTTGTCCTTGCCTTGACCCTGGCCTTGTCCTTGACCGTTATTGTCCTTAGCCTTGCCCTGACTACCCTGAGCTTGACCGTTGTTGTCCTTCGTCTGGCCTTGGCCTCCTGGAGTCTGGCCGTTGTTGTCCTTCGCCTGGCCTTGGCCACCTTGAATCTTACCGGTATTGTCCTTTGCCTTTGACCCCTGGCCTTGTCCTTGACCGTTGTTGCCCTTAAGCTTGGCCCTGGCCACCTTGAAGTCTGGCCGGTTGTTGTCCTTTGCCTTGACCCTTTTTCCTTGGCCTTGACCATTGTCGCCCCTTGCCGCCCTTAGCCTGGCCCTGGCCTCCTTGAGTCTGGCCGTTGTTGTCCTTGCCTTGGCCTTGGCCTTGACCCTGGGCACCTTGGTTCTGGTTGCCCTTTCCTTGGCCTTGGCCTTGGCCTTGACCCTGGGCACCTTGGTTCTGGTTGCCCTTTCCTTGGCCTTGGCCTTGGCCTTGACCCTGGGCACCTTGGTTCTGGTTGCCCTTTCCTTGGCCTTGACCTTGACCTTGACCCTGGGCACCTTGGTTCTGGTTGCCCTTTCCTTGACCTTGACCTTGACCCTGGGCACCCTGGTTCTGTCCTTGGCCACCGCCGCCTCCTCCTCCACCGGCGACAACTTCAAACTTGGTGCAATCATCTTGCGCACCTCGCTGAGCAACAGGCATGGCGACAGGCTGGTGGTTCGCCGCTCCGATCAAGGTACATACGCGGTACACGCCAGCCGGCAGCCCGCCCGTGACGACGGCCTGCAGCAAGCCCTGGCCGTTCCCGGCGTCGTCGATGCCCTTGAAGAAGGCGAACAGCTTGGGGTCAGGCGGCGTCGTCGAGTCGAGTGAGCCGATGGACTGGACGGTGACGTGGCAATGGCCGATGATGTCGCCGCGGCTGTCGAGGTCCTGGGGCGCCGTGTAGTAGTTTGTCGTCGGGTTGACAAACACGCCGGCCTTGAGGTGGGCGACCTGGACCGAAATGTTGAACGTCGTCTCGGCCGGGATGGTCTTGCCCGGCTGCGGGTTCGTGATCATGGCGGAGATCATGTTGTCGACGCTGGGGAGCTTGCCCATGGGAACGCCGTTGCAAGACCCCGTCTTGATCTGGACGCCATTGGTGATGGTCTGGCCCTTGCAAAAGTTGATAAAGTTGTCATCATCGCTGCGAGACTCGGGTCAGGACTTTCTTGTCTTTTCATTGTCCGCCTTGCTAGTACAAGTGGTTTGGACTTACGTTGCGGACGGCGACTGTCCGGCCTTGATGCCTGCGGTGCCCTGCTCCTGACCGGTACGACCACTGGCGCTCTGGATCAAGTTCTTTTGCAAGCAGTTTGCCTGGTTCTGCCGGGCGAATATATCTCGAGGGTGATGCTTGACAGAGTCGTGCGTCGCGCCGAACAGAGAAGCCTCGATCAGGCCAGCTGATGCGAGGAACACGTAGATGGAACTAGCCAACATGTTGTGTTTTCTTCGAAGAGGAAACGAAAAAAAAAAAAGATTGTGAACAAACAAACGAAGCAGGAAAGGAGTGAATGGAAAGAATGGAAGCGACTGGGCTGAGATGACTGGCGTCGATTGGGATACTGCCGAAGGCTTGGCTCGCACTTATATACAGAACATGACGAGAGTGCTGGTGGGCCAGGTGCCAGCCCGATGGGACGCTTGACACTTACACCCTGACTGGACGGGGCCAGGAGTCGAGATGGTTTGACACTTGAGGCTTGCTCCCGAGGCAGGCTAGACTGCCATCTCGTGTATCCCTTAATGACGCGTAGCTACAGGGCGGGCGCTGAAGCCGGGGCGGGGGGTTGAGTCTACGCCAACGGGCGCCATCGTGGACAGCGTAGCAGGTGAAGGGGGCGGCACGAAGACTGCGGCGGTTCAGAGAGCACCCAGCCGTCCGATACATGCGAAGATCCTCTGTGGACCATCGGGGGATCTGGCGAGCATGTCGCAGATTCGGGAAACTCCTTCAGATCAGGGGCCCATCCCCCTTACCGTTGCACGGCCAATGGAGGCCGACCGAATTGAGTAATTGCAGTCACCTCATTGTGAGGCAGCCCTTTTCTGCTGAGTTGGTGACATGGGGGTGAAACCGTGCTGGTCGGACGACTGGCGTCTCAACCCCGCGAGCTTGTTCTGTACGGGTAATCGGCACTGGGATTGCGTCCATGGTACAGCATGGGTTCGCAAGCCCACGCGACTTGGACGTGCCCATTGCGAGAAGAGCAATCGGCTTGCTCCGATTGATTCTTTCATGAATCGAAGGAAACTCTCCCTTGTCGTCTCACCCACAAACTTTGTATGCCAGACTTCACTAGTCCAATCTCCCAAAAAGGCTCTCTCACGAAAGATAAATTAAAAAAACCTTGCGCAACGTTGCAGAGCAGGACATGCATTTGAGCAGTGTTTATGCGCCCAAAAAAACTACACATGGGCAACACGATCTTTCGCATCTTCAACCCTGGAGGTAGGCAGAGGGTCTTACATTGCTTTAACGTGGACTGAGACGATCGCAACTGTAGCACTAAGGGAGGATCCCGTACAAAAGTGAAGAGGCCAGGTTCGCCGTGCGCAACCGTGAGGTCTAGTCCCTATCATGAGTTGAGTTGAACTCAGTTGAGATTATGCAGAGCCTATCGCGATCGGAAAGACAAGCACACCCAAGCGCTCGAAAAGCAAGTTACAGAGACTCGATCAAACGAGGCGAGACGAGCACGCGAATGTGAGGACCTTCGCGCTGCTCTTGATCGAGCATCAGGCCTCCTTTCGCAACATGGCATCCCAGCTCCCCTAGAGCTGCGTCAGACCGGCTCATCGGCCTTGGATCGCATGAGTCCCGGTCAGCGGGTTGTCGAAGCGCTTTCATCGCCCATGCCGTTCTGACCGGCGTCACTCGCTTAGCACCAGCAGCCCAGCGGCCATGTGACGCGTCAAGGCACAGGCCGAGCTCCCGACTCACGTGACCTCCACCCATTCCCCTCGCAGCCAATCGCGAGGCCACCGACTTCAATCCAAACTTGCAATCTTGACGACCACCACTACAAAAGCTCTCTGGCAACCATCACCCGCCCGACACCTCCCACCATGGCCGGCGACGACGTCCACCACCCCAAAGATGCCCTCAAGGCGGGCTTCACCGGCCTCACAATTGTCGGTACATCCGGCTTCTTCGTCGCCGCCATTCACAACGCCCTGCAGGTGAACAATGTCGGCGCCATGTCCGTCTTCACCCGCAGCGGTGGCATCATCGGCGTTTTCGGTACGACAAGTCCAATTGGGTGCTCAGCTGTCGAGTAAACGTTGCTGACTTGTGTCCTTCGTCTATAGCTCTCGGCGGCGGTGCCTACGAGTTCACAAAGACCGCGAGCGCCAACCTGAGGCACAAGAATGACCCTTGGAACTCGGCCATTGGCGGCTTCGTTGCTGGTTCCATCCTCGGCATGACCAGTACGTGACCTCGTCTACCGAGATACGAAGCCTGGGTAAGAACCTTGTTGACGCGCTTCATAGGGAAAAGGATGCCTACCGTTCTCGGTGTTGGCGCCTTGGTGTCCGCAACCATGGGCGTGTTCGACTTCACCGGCGCTCGCCTGCGTGGCTGGGCCGAGCGCCCCGAGGAGGACGAGTTTGAGCGAAAGCTGGCTCTGCGCGCCAACAGGAGGAGGCCGATTGAGGAGACGATCGCTGAGCTCGGCGAAAGGCGAGGTGCGTTTTTTCCTGCCGGCTGAAAGGCGCTTGGTTCCAGGAGCGGGCACAGCCGCGCACACCGTTCTATACAACGCTGACACCCTGCAGAACTCAAGACCGAGGGCTACGATGAGCGGAGGCGCGAGCCCCTGCAGGCGAAGTACGGCGTCGAGATCAACCCCGTCAAGGCGACAGTCGAGTAGACTGGTGACCGAGTGGAAGGGAAGGGACCAGACGAACCTACGGGCAAGC